GTATTATAAGGATTAAATGAGATAGTATGTGTAATACATAGCGAGTGTTCAATAAAGTTATTATTCTTTTGCCAAATTGTTAGAGGGTTTGATTAGAAACAGGAGAAACAATTTTTTGCCTTTAAGGTTGAAGGAAAGGAAGTGATATAATGGAAATTAAGGGAAATTGAATTTAACGGTCTCAGATTCTTTAATTAAAAGGCGAGATTACCTGCCGAGCATGCAAAGAATGGGGTTGAGAATGGAGCTCGAAGTTTGGAGGAGCGGTTGAAGTAGAATAAGGGTGACAAACTTTGGATTTGAGGAGATGAGGGAACTGTGAGGATGGGATGTTGGCTGATCAACCCCCATGGACTCTAAAGTCATGCTGGATGAAAGCAGGATGGAAAAGAAGGATGGGAGCCTGTGCCCAAATCTTAAAATGAATCTTAAATGAAAATGAGCAACAGTAAGTAATTGCAATAACAAACGTTTGAAACTGCAAAGGAGAAAGACTCTGTACTCAAAGGTGGATGAGTGGTGGTCTGGAGGCTGTGGGGAGTGCAGAGAATGTCAACTCCATTGCCTAACCTGGACATTAGGTGTTTTTATTCAAAAGAACAGCAGGGAAAGGGCTGACCTCATAGAAGAGTCCAGTTTAGGTAAGGCAGGAGGTTGAGAGCATATTCTATAGCTAGATAAGGAAAATATGGAAATACGCTTGTTCTAGAAAGAGAGAATACCAGAGAACTCAAGGGAAAAGAAAAGGTTTTGGAGAGAGGGAGAGAAGCAGTTTGAGGATGGGTGGCATAGAAGAATCATGAAGCAAGATGGGGATGGGAATAAGTGAGGATACAGGGAACTCGGAGCTAATGGTAAAGTCCCTGTTTTGAGAAGCTGATGAAAGCTATGGATCCTCTCTCCAGAAAAATATGTATTTATAGATTCATGTAAATTTTGCACACAATCTCAGGAAGGTCACAAACTCCCGAGGCACCGAACTTTTTTAAGTAAACTTTTTATTGAAATATAACATACATACAAATTGATGTTCAGCTCAAAGTGAATATACTTGTATTACCAGCAACCATATCAACAACCAAAACATTACCTGCTCCCCAGAAGCCACCACATGAGTCCTCTTTCAGTTATTAACCACCCTCAAAGGTAACCACTATCCTGACACCTATAACCACAGATTAGCTTTATCTGTTTTTAAACATATATATGTTAAAGAGTGTTCAGATCAGCACTATTTGTAATAATCCCAAACTAGGGGAAAAAAACAATATTTATGCATCATAGAATGGATAAACTGTCATACTTTACACAGTGGAATACTATACAGAGATGAGAATGAACGAACTGCAACTACAAGCACCAATATGGTTGAACCTCACAATATAGTTATACAGCATACATTCTTATGAGCCTGGTTTCTTCACTCAATATTATGTTTGTGAGGCTCATCCGTGTCGGTGCATGTAGTTGCAGTTCATTCATTCTCATCTCTGTATAGTATTCCACTGTGTAAAGTATGACAATTTATCCATTCTACGATGCATAAATATTGTTTTTTTCCCCTAGTTTGGGATTATTACAAATAGTGCTGATCTGAACACCCTTTCTCATGCCTTTTGGTGAATATAAATACACATTCTGTTGGTTAAATACCTAAGAACGAAGTTGAAGATTTAGTAGATGATGGGGCTTATGCTTTAGACAAGGAACAAGGGAAATAGAGGTCCGAGGGAAGTGGAATTCATCCAAGCTTTCCATCTCAATTCTAGTATAAAATTACACGGGACGTTTTGCTTCAATCATTTACCAACGTTAAGAATGAAATAAAATCACAACGGTCATAGACTTGATGGGTAAGGAGATTCTTTGAAAAGATTAATAAAACTCCTGACAAGTCAAAAAAATATATATACCCGAGGTTTCCTGCAGCACACAGGCAAGAGCATGGCAGCCATCCATCCCCTCCAGCGACAGGCTCGTGGCCACCCAGGACTGCTACCTGGGCCACCTGAGTTCCACTTCCAGGAACAGCTCCTGTGGAAGTGCCGCGTACCCTGGGGAAGCCATCCCCAACACCCTGGCCTCCCCAAGGCTGACCCAGGTCACTGGCGGGAGAGATGCTTTTTCCAGAAGTCCACTCTCCTATTCGTGGCCACAGTGTTGGAGTCCCCAGAGCACTCGCCGTCTCCCTGGGCCTGCGGCAGCGCGATCACCTGTACCTGGCTCGGCAAGCTACAAGAAGTCAGCTTGGTGTCCAGCCCAGCAAAGCCAACGCTGGGCCACCATCCTGAGTGGCCACCGGCAGCCACCAGACTTCCAGAGGCACTAAGCTCTTTAGAGCCCCTTTCATCCCTCCCTACCTCCATAGACTAGGCAGGCTGCAGCCAGCAGAAGCAGTTAGGTTCCTTAATATCCAAACAGCAAAACACCTAATAGGAACTTGAGAGAGCCTCACTCTTTACAAGCCTAGCAACACGCTAGCCTTCCTGACACCCTGTAACTGTGTGCTTTGCACCGAATGGAAAATAAACGACGAGCAGCCAGCAAATAAATGAATAAACAAATAAATAAATAAAATGTCCCAAATAATTCTAATGTATATCAAATTTGGGGAAACATTCGGCTCTTTGATTTTGAAAATAATTAATTGATTGGTATATGGTAATATTTATTGATTTGTCCTATGATTTCAGATGATTATATACGGGCAGAAAATAAAAATGTCGCACAAACTCACACACAATTCATATTTCTCTCCCAGTTGATTGACCCCACTTAGGACCCTGTCCGGATCACAGGACTCAGGACTCCCCCGTTTCATCTTTCTGTCAAACCTGACACAAGATCTCTTCACCCAGTCTACCCTAGCACTGATAGCAGATTTATCCTCCTAAAACATCGCTGTTCCCCTGTCACTCCACTGCTACAGAATTGTAAATAGCTTCTCATCCTCCCTAGCCATCCATTTCACAGCTCCAGAGCCTGATTCGGGCTGTCAGATCTTATTCCTCAGGGATCCCCCACAGCTCACACCCTTCGTGTGTCCAGTCAGAACCATCAGCATTCCACACACATCAGGCCCCTCCGGCCTCCACATACTTGACTCGGCTGCTGTCGGTCCCTTCCAGTGTCCTTCTTCCTCCACTCCCCACACACTGCCTACTAGTCCTAACTTTTTTCAAGGCCTACCGTAAATCCCCTTTCTTTCATTAAGGCTTCTCTGACTACCCCAACCTATACCTCTGATCTTAAATGGTCCTAAAAGTCTGAACTATATGTGAACATGTGGAATAGTGGGCAATCAGACAGTCTGGCATACAAGGCCTTTCTGGCTCATCTTCATCAGGGTGTCCCTATCTGCCACCTTCCTACCTAATTTCAGCAGCTCTCGCACCGGTCTGTACTCCAAAGTATAGACACTGGCAGGTCACCCCCAGAGAGGGGCAGAACATCCATCTCCCTCCTTTGTGATTTCCACTCCGTGAGTCCTGGCTGCCTGTCTGAGGTCCCACCTCTTCTATGATGACTGACACCAGGGACGTCACCTCCTTGTGGCTGGGACTTTATCTCATAATATTAAATCATTGGTAAATGTTGATTGAGCCACTGAAGGCTGTTTGTCAGGAATATCAACTAATAAGAGCTCAAAAACACTAAGAAGCCATTTTGGTATAATAATGATAACAGTAAATAATGAATGAACACTTACTTCGTGACAGACGGTGCTTTTACATGCATGATCTCATCGAATCATGACAACTCTGAGAAGCAGAGTCCATTATTATTCCCAATAACAGAGGAGGAAACTGAAATTTAAAAAGGTTAACATAAAATTATCATATGACCCAGTAATTCCACTCCTACATATATATCCAAAAGAACTGAAAACAGGTACTCAAACAGATACTTGTATACCCATATTCATAGCAGCATTATTTTCAATAGCCAAAAGGTGAAAACAACCTAAGTACCCATCAACTAATGAAGGGATAAACAAGAAGTGGTATATCCATACAATGGAATATTATTCAGTCATAAAAAAGAATGAAGTTCTGATATCTGCTACAACATAGAGAAACCTCGAAAACATCATACTAGGTAAAATAAGCCAGACACAAAAAATATTGTATGATTCCACTTATGTGAAATAGACATATTCATAGAGACACAGTAGATTAGAAGTTACCAGAAGCTGCGGGGAGGGGAAAACGGGAAATTACTGCTTAGTGGGTGCAGTTTCTGTTTCGGATGATGGAAAAGTTTTTAAAGTAGATAGCAGTGATGGTTTGGACAACATTGTGAGTATATTTAATGCTACTTAACACTTTAAAACAGTTAAAATGGTAAATTTTGTGTTGTGTATATTATAACATAACAAAACGAATATTTTGAAAAACATCAAATAGCTGGAAAGTGGTTAAGCTAGGACCTGAATCCAAACCTATCTTACTCTAGGGCCTATGCTCTCAACCCTCGGGCCTCACTGCCTCTGGAAAGAGCAGCAAAACATGACATCTGGGTCCTTGTCGTCCGTGTCTTATGTGACCTTATACAAGCCTGACCTTTTAAGGCCTCACTTTGCTCAGCTGTTACATAAGACAAAATACCTTTGACAGCCCCTACTGGTTGCAACCTTCCTGACAATCATCTATCTATTGATGTTGATTTTACAACACTGAATGCCCCCAACGTGATTCCTGACCCAGACACCATTTGCTTCTGGCGCACTCTGGGGACGGGGTGGGGAACCAACTGTCCTCTCACGACCTGCCCCTCCCTTAGGGATTTGCCCTGGAGTTGAGCCAGCCCTTGAGGAGTCTTCTACTCCCCCTTCTTTCCCCCATTCTGGCTGTACTCCAGGATAAATTTCCACAAGGCAAGAGATAACACAGTCAAGGTGAAGATCAGGGCAGGTCTTAAAAAGGCTTCCTTGTGTCCTAGAGCAGCTGCAGCAATTCCCCACCACAGCTGTCTGTCCTGTCTGCAGGCACCCAGCCACCATGTGGGGGCTCTTGGCTGTCTTGCTGCTCACCCTAGCCTATTTCTTTCAGCCCAAAGTAAAGCGCCCTGGTGCTAAGTACCCCAAGAGCCTCCCATCTCTGCCCTTGGTGGGCAGCTTGCCGTTCCTCCCTAGACATGGCCATCCGCACGTGAATTTCTTCAAGCTACAGGAAAAATATGGCCCCATCTATTCCTTTCGTATGGGTAGCAAGACTGTAGTGATGATTGGCCACCACCAGCTAGCCAAGGAGGCGCTTATCAAGAAGGGCAAGGAATTCTCTGGACGGCCCCAAGTGGTAAGTATTGCCCATCATCCTTCCTCTCTCACTGTCCCCCAGGGTTGTTCAGTTCTTTGGCCAAGACCATGCCTAGAATGACCCTTCAAGTTCCAACAACCTGTAATCCTTCCCCAAAACAGACTAGCAGGGCTATGGGTGGGGAGCGATCCCTCAAGGCTCCATCTGGCCTCTAAACTAGGCAGGAAGAATTAAAGAGAGACCTCATATTCTGGGCTGCCTAGGAGGTGGAGTAGGGTGGGAGCTGTGGCCTAAGGGGGTCAGGGTTCCTCACTCCTGTCATCTCACCCCTGAACTGGATGATGATCTCTCTAAGCTCAGACTTCCCTAATTAGATGACATAGTGCATATAAAGACCTTAGCCTGGTATCCAGTGCATTAGTGCTCGATTAATAGTTCTATGGGTGTTATTCTTCATGTGAAAATGGGGATAGTAATGATTGCCCTCTCTGAGAAGGTGCAAGGGAGAAGTAGCCCGATTGGGTGGGGGGGGAGGAGGGTGGCGGTGGGTGCTGTTTCTCTGGAACGATCCCAAGCTGCTGCAGCTCACAGGGGACTGACCCATGGTAGCATTTTGAGGATGAAGATGTACTATCCTTCTGAGCTTTTGGTGGTACTCCTAGGAAATGTGAGGGGCTAGCTATCCAGGAACAGCACCAACACCCCATCCTAGTACCCTGCTGCTGGGCACTACCCTAAACACCCCAGGCAGGGCCCCCCAGCCACTCATCTTTGATCAAGCCAAGGGTTGACTTGTTTTTACTGACCAGTCAGCCAGATTTGCTGGCCAACTACCTCCTTCTCAACTACACTGAGCTCTTTCCAGTGCAAAGAGGAAAAGGCTAGTCAGCTGGGGATTGCAGGTCAGGGAAGAGAACAGGAGAAGCTTGAGACCTGTATGCTTTTTGGGGTGCCTCTGGGAAGAGGTGGCTTGGCCTAAGTTCAGACTAAGTGGACATCTGCACTCTCCAGATGTGGCCCTGGGTGGGCGCACAGCCTTGCAATGGCAGGGCAAACAAAAAGGAGATGAGCTGCTGTGCCTTTAGCATTCCCCCACAGGGCCCAGGGAAAGGCGGAGGTCTGGGAAGTCCTCAGTCTCTGCAAGTCCCCACCCCCATTCCTGACCCTAGGACAGGCACAATTCAGAGAGCTTATCCCATCCACAGCTGCCCTCCTCTGGTCAGAAACCGATGAGAAAAGAGAGGCCCGGAGTCCATTAGTCATTGAAATCGAACCCCAGAACCCCTGCATTGTAATTCAGGGTTCTTTCTTTCTTCACACTGTCTCTCTGATGGAATTGGGAGTAGAGGAGCCTTTGGCCCTGCCCTACCAAGGCCTTACAGTCATGGTGGAGTGGAACAGGGATGCCCCACAAGGAGGCCAGCATGGCAGGTAGCTTCCTTCTCCCTCAGGAAGGGAGAATGGGTGTAGGACGCCCGGGGCAAGGGAAGGTAGATGGTGTCTGATTCCTACAGCCTTTCCTGCTCTCCAAAGACAACTCTAGACATCCTGTCAGACAACCAAAGGGGCGTTGCCTTTGCTGACCATAGTGCCGCCTGGCAGCTGCATCGGAAGCTGGTGTTGGCCACCTTTGCCCTGTTCAAGGATGGCAACCAGAGGCTAGAGAAAATCAGTAAGTGCCCAGCTGGCTTCTCAGCTCTGGAGGGAGAAGAGGGTTGGGTAGGGAGGGGAGAGGGGTTATGGATGGCTCAATCTAGCGATTTCTTGGCTACTGTTGCCATCTAGTGGCCATGTACTATATGTCCCTGGCTCAGAGGGAACTGGTAGAGAGGGGGTGAAGGTAGTGCTTAATTCTCCAGCCTCATGTCCCTCTCTTCCCTCAGTATGTCAGGAAATCAGTTCATTTTGTGATTTCCTGGCCACCCAGAATGGACAGTCCATAGATTTGTCCATGCATCTCTTCCTGGCGGTGACCAACATCATCTGCTTGATCTGCTTCAATACCTCATATAAGAAGGAGCATCCTATGCTGAAGATCATATATTCATACAATGAAGGCATCATGGATGCTCTGGGCAAGGACCATATAGTAGACATATTCTCTTATTTTAAGGTGAGGACAAGACTGGGCTCCACCTTTAGATCCCAGCAGACCCTAACAGTGTCTCCAATTCTTTCTTCTTAATGACCAGCTCCAGACCCACCTTTTTCCTGACCACCTCAGCCACAGTGACCTCTGCCTCCTCTGACTCTTAAAAGCTGCCACTTCTCTACATAAATAGGTTTAGCTTTTAATCATGTATTTTATATTCACAACAAAGGCTCTCTATTTACTAATTGCCATGTGCCGGTATTGAGCACTATATATGCATTAATCATGGCATTCCACTTGGAGACAGGTTTTATTATCCCCATGCAGATGAGAAAATAGCCTTTGAGAAGTTAAGAAACTTCTCTAAGCCTTCAGACGCAAGTCTATCTTACTCTTAAGGGCTGGGCACACTGCAGAGTCTGCTAAGTGAAACCTCAATCAGTGCTTGATGTTTGATTAAATGAGGAGGAGAAAGTGGAGACCACGCCCTTCTCCCTTGTTTGAAATTCTCCTAGTTGTCATTGGTGGTCTCATTCTGTGTTCCCATCTTGCCTTCCATTTTGGCTGAAGGTTAGGGTTGGGGTGGGAACCCTCCAGAAGGCTAGGATTTGGCCCCGGGAGGGATTCTGGTAGCTGTAGAAGCAAAATGGAAGAGGAATGGACTTGATATTCTTTCTACTTTCCAGGTTTTCCCCAACAAAACCCTGAAAAAGATGAAGGCTTGTGTTAAAATGCGAAATGATATGTTCACTGAAATCTATAAAAAACTTAAGGTAGGTGATGGAGTAGAAGAGATTATGAGTTGGGTTAAAAGCATTAGTGTGCGGCTGGGTATGAGAGCAGGGTTAGGGTCCGTTATGAACACCATAAGATGCTCAGTGCCCAGCAGAGAGCCTGGCACATAGTAGTTGCTCAATACAAACTGACTTCACTAATGAATATGGGTTGGAAGTGAGGAGTTGGAGAGGATCCTAGAAAGAACCCATCCACCCCCAAAATTTAAAGAGGATCTAGCGCTGCCTCGTCTCCATAAGCTCATAAGTTCTGCCTAGACTCACTCCACGCCCTCACTTCCAAGCGGAAGAAGCCTTTGTATCTCCAGTCTGGGATGGAAGTATGGCAAGGTGTTACAGATAATGCTCTTTCCTTATCACTGTTTCCCAACCTTGCCCAACCAGGAGAATTTCAGCAGCAACTCTATCAATAGCCTGGTGGACATACTGATCCAAGCCAAGATGAACTTAGACAATAACGCTGCTGGCCCAGACCAGGATCCAGAGATAATTTCAGATCGACACATTCTTGCAACCATAGGAGACATCTTCGGGGCCGGTACAGAAACCACAACCTCTGTGGTGAAGTGGACTGTGGCCTTCCTGCTACACAATCCTCAGGTAGGCTTCTCCTTACTCCAGTCTTCCCAACCACTCTTGACCCCAGCCAGACCCACCTTTAGCCCCAAAGAGAAGGAGAGGCAATACCCCCGGGCCTTTTATGCAGGATGGCTGGACTACCCATGCGGTTGTTGGTTCTGGCCCTAGCACGGAGCGGCCCCATCTTTTGCAGAGAAAGCCTGGGAGGCAGAGCCACCACTGGGAAGAGGCTGGGCCAGCTCTTCTAAGCCCACGCCTCTCTCAGGCTTAAGCACTCTGGGCACATCTACCCTTCTCTGGCCTGCAGTTGCAGAAGAAGATCCAGGAGGAGATTGACCGGAATGTAGGTTTCAGTCGCACACCAACTATCGGTGACCGGAACCAACTCGTCCTGCTGGAGGCCACCATCCGAGAGGTGCTTCGCATTCGGCCCGTGGCAGCTACGCTCCTCCCACACAAGGCTGTCGTTGACTCCAGGTGTGCCTTCCTTCCCAATAACGTCCAGCCCTATGATGCCTTCGACATTGCTTGCCAGCCCACCTCGCTTCTCCTCCACGCCCCCACACCCCCAGCTTGCTGGTCAGCCTACAGTCAACCACTGACTATCAATCATCCTACCCCTGACCCTATTGATCAATGTACCCACCGCCCACTAACACTCAGTGACTAATCCACAGATCTACCTGACTTCCCTCAGAAGCTGCCTGCTGTCCTGGACACTTGTGGTCTGGGAGGAAAGACTGCTGCTCACAACACACACATTGCACCAGCTCAAAAATGCATTCCCACATGCCCCGGCAAGCACCAATGCCCACGTTCAAAAGTGCTGATACATAAGTGTTTGTCGGGACGGGAGGACTGAAGAAGGGCTGGATTCATTTTGAATCTGGCGGAAGCTGAGGAAAAGATGAGGAAGTGGGCATGAGGGAGTAAAGAGCTCTTTTCCCCAGGGCAGGGGACTATGGAGGCTTAGGACCGAGCAGGTAGGGAGGACGATATCCCAGACCCCTTTCCCTCTTCCTCTCTGGGGCAGCATTGGCGAGTTTACCATTGACAAGGGAACAAATATTGTCGTCAATATATGGGCACTGCATCACAATGAGAAAGAGTGGCACCAGCCCGACCAGTTCATGCCCGGTAAGTCCATTTTCTGTCCTGCTCTCAGCCTGCTCTCTGTGCTCTGCCACTCCAGCGCCACCGCCCCTCTGCCCAGCTGACAATTAGAAAACTCCTGGCCCCAGCTACATGGACCTGTTGACACCCCCATCCTACCCTAGACTTACCCAAACTCTTCACAGCTGGGTTTCCTACTTTCTCCTTCCACCAACTGCAAATCTCCTCTAAGAAGCCCTCTAGGCATATGTCTCACATTAAATTGGCCCCCTCTCCCCTTGGATGGTAGCATTTTTATCTGTCGATACTGCTTCCTTTCTATCCTTCCTGAATATTTCATTTCCTCTGTGTGATCAAGGGCTACATGACAGCAGGGCCATGTCTCTCCTCAGACTAGGGTTTCCCCAAGTAAGGCTGCCTACCTCCTTAGACTGGGGCTCCTCAGTCAGGGCAAAGGCACTCCTCCACCTCCTTTGGCCTTGGCCCCTGCCTGATGTCTCCTTATGTCCACAGAGCGCTTCCTGGACCCCACAGGGAGCCAGCTCATCTCGCCATCGTTAAGCTACATGCCCTTTGGAGCAGGACCCCGCTCCTGCGTAGGTGAGAATCTGGCCCGCCAGGTGCTCTTCCTCTTCATGTCCTGGCTGCTGCAGAGGTTCGACCTGGAGATCCCGGATGATGGGAAGCTGCCCTCCCTGGAGGGCGATCCCAATTTGGTCTTTCTGATCGACTCTTACAAAGTGAAGGTTAAAATGCGCCAGGCCTGGAGGGAAGCCCAGGTTGAGGATCGCACCTAGAAGCTGTACCTAGCACTCCACCCTCTGTGGCTACCCCACCCTCCCCCACCATTCCCCTGCCCACCCCGCCTTCTTCTCTACCCTGCAGCCCCCAACAGTGATATGCATAAATTAAAGTTTTTCTTCAGAAGGTCCCTGAGTGGCTCATTCCTTTAATTTGTTCATTCATTCTTTCAACAAATATTTTATTGAGCGCCTCCTATGTGCCATTCACTGTCCCTGGACACTCACGCTCCCTGGTCTCCTCAAGCTGACATTTCTAGTGACAGCTGACAAATAACTAAGCATTTCAGAGACTCATAAGTATTTTGAAGTCAATTTTACTAGGTGACGGTGATTTGAGAAGAGAATGGCAGAGGTGGGGGGGTGTCACTGTAAACCATTGATTGGGGAGGTGTAAACCCTGGAAAGTGTCCCGTGCTGAGGGGGCAGCAGGTGAGAATTTCTCAAGGTGGGAGAAGTCAGTGTGGCTGGAGCAGCTCCTAGCAAATGAAGGGGAGAGTGGTCCCTGATGAGGTCATATTGAAGATAGCGGCCGGGTCCCACGGAGCCTTTGAAATGAGCAGGAAGGAATCTAGGTTTTCGTTCCAAGTGTGATTGAAAGTCATTGGAGGGTTTAAACATGTAAGTTCTGGCATATACTTTTAAAAGATCACCCTAGTTGCCGAGTGGAGATTGGTCTGTAGAGGGATGAGAGTGAGGACGGGGAGGAAGAGGTGGTTGTGCTGGTCCAGGAGAGCAAGACAATGGTGGCTCAGACCCTGGTGACAACAGCGGAGAAGGCGAGAAGTGGTGGAACTGAGTTTATATTTTGAGAGTGGAGCAATGGATCTCTGCTTTGATCAAATGGGCATTGCTGCATGTACCTCAGCGGTTCGGCTTCGGGGGAATGTGCGTAATCCACAAACTCAACCGACCACTGCCCATCCCTCTTGTCTTGGTCCTCAAACACTGGCAGGTCTCCTTTCCCTCATCCTGTCCTGATGTAAATAAACACTGCCAGGAAAGGGCTTCCACAGTGGCCTTCGGGCTCTGGCCCTGCTCCCCTGCCAACCCCAGGAAGTTGATAATGCTGGAACCCAGACATCTTCAAGCCTTGAAACCAGCATCTTTAAACCTTGGTCACTGGCCAGTCTGCAAATGAAAGCTGTCCCAAGATCCCCTGGGAGAAACTGACCCTACCCTTTAGCCTGGAGAGAGGCCCCAACCCCAGCTCCCTGGCGCCAGCCAGACCAGGGTCAGATTATCAACACCCTGTCCTTCCCTTCTGACTGGAGGAGGGTTCTGGAAGGCTGAAATCCTGCGCGGCAAGTTCTCAGACAGAAGAATCAAGAGAGGCTCGGAAAGGAGGGAGGGACAAGGTTCTTCCTTCAAAGAACGTGGTTAGTCCAGTGGCAGTAGGTCATTCTCTACCGTCCCCACTCCCAACTCAGTCCTGGCCTTCACTGGCCAAGGACCCTGGGACCTTGCTAAGGAGCCCATAGGAGAGTTTGTGGACAGCTGTGGCTGACCCCAGCCCCCATCACATGCAGCCTGGAGAGATGAAGACACCACAGTGAGCCGACGAGAAAAGGTTAATTAAATTGGAGATGGTCCCTCTCCTGGGTTCGTCTGCCTCATCGCTGGCTGCTGTTCTAATGCCAAGCTACCTGCAGCTCAAAGCAGAGCAGAGCAGACCGGCCAGAGAGAGCGAAGTATTCCAAATTTGCTCAGAATTTTAAAAGCACTTCGCAGACTAATGATGAACAGATAAATAATTAGTGGAGGGGCTGTTTCTCTTTTAGAAGCAGTGATTGAGTGTAACTGGGATGGAAACATCTATTCTCTAACTATTAAATCAGATCATTGAATGGCCGGGAAATGAGACGAATCTTCATATTGAAAATGACAAAAAGGAGAGGCAGTAAAGGGAGAGGGGTGACTTGCACCGAGTCACACAGCTACTTACACACAGCTACTTAGCAGGAGGGCTGGGACCAGAACCCAAGACTTCAGTGATGCAGGATGAGGAGTCAGACGTGCTTTCCCACCTGTCCCGTGTCCGTGCAGAAAGGCTCTCAGGTGTCTGGCTGGGGAGAGTCCGAGGCTGAGTGTCCTTTCAGGAAATGACTTCATGAACTCTG